CCGAGCATCTGGGGTCACCGGCACCGCTGGACCACCATTTCTATCAATTCTGTCAGCAAAAGGATTGCCTGAGTTAGAGGTTCGCCTCCGTGATCACTACATACCGAGCCATTCAGGACGTATTCGTTGCCCTCCTTGCGCATGCTGAGCTGAATGTTGGTCGCGTCCGACGAGGCAACCTCGGGCTCCGTCATCAAGAACGCAGAGCGGATCTGGCCCTCCATCAACGGCTTGAGCCACTTTGCCTTTTGCTCTTCGTTTCCGTACTTGGCCAGCACCTCCATGTTACCCGTATCGGGCGCGGCGCAGTTAACGGCCTCGGAGGCGACGCGCGACTTGCCGAGCCACTCAGCCATCAGGCCGTACTCGAGATTCGTGAAGCCGGGCGACTCCTTGTAGTGGCCCTTTGGCAAGAACATGTTCCACAGGCCCAGCTTCCTGGCCTTGACCTTGAGGTCGTCGACGATGGCCGGGTGGTGGTCCCATCTCGCATCGCCCTGGCCGATCTGGGCGTCTAGGACGGGGTCTGCGCTGCACACGGAGGTAGGAATGTTTAGTGCCGGTGGACGAAGCAGACAGTTTTTTTTTTTTTTTTTTTTTGGCGGTAGATGAGTTTTGCTTACGGAATGCACTCTTCTTCGACAAACTTGGCCACGAGATCAAGCGCCTCTTTGGCGCGATCGCTGAGGCGATCCAGGACCTGGGGGGCCGCGACGGCTGGGTCAGCAATGCTGTGTGTTTCCAAAATTTGGGTACCTGAGCTGGGATGAAGCTCTCCCCGCACTAGCTAGCGACTTACGATGGCTGGGACTCTGGACGTCATCTTGGGGGAGTATGAAAGCGAGGCGAATTGGGGAGGGAAACTTCTAGATTGATTCGTCTCAGAGTTGGGAATTGCGAGGTTTGAGAGGTATGGAAAAGTACAGAGATGCAGGAAATGGGGAACAACGTCAATTGGGCATGGATCTCTACTCCCTTTTGAACGTGGAGTGTTTAGTCTCATCGTACGGTAGACGAGCGATGGGACGAGCCGGCAAGCCGAGGTTGAGTCTGGAGCTGCCTAGGGAGTAGGGTCCCCCAAAAGGTGGGGATCCTGGGGTAGCCGTCTTGAACCTCCGCCTCCGCCCTCCGCGTCTGAGAATGGCCCCAGACCCCCCAGATTTGTAGCAGTGGGTTTCTGCCGTGCCATTTTACGGGTGAACTACCTGCAATACCTGCTAAAGGAACTAAAAATGTTACCTAGCTAGATCACTTGGGTAGCTTATGGCCAAGTTGCTCACCAGGTGGGTTGAGGTGGGTTCGAAACGGACTTCATTCATAGGGTGAAGGAGACAGATTCCGGTCCTATCGTAAGGTCGGATACCTGTCGTGGGATCACCCTGGCCCACGGTCAAGTCCTAGCCCTCAGGCTCAACTGTTACTGTTCAGTGACATTTTCTCCTGATTAGAACCGTTCCCCGTCGCTCATTAATCCTCACAAAACTAAAAGTACGGATACCCCGTAAGGATAATGCGGTGGTGCCACTTCGGCGCGTCACCGTTGCGGGGGAGCGCCAGTTGTGCCGGCCTCCAATAGCAGTGCCCGCACCCAACCCCGATGCCTCGGCGCGGCCTTCAGGCCGGCGGGATACTTTTATCGGAGCCTTAGCTCACTCTGTTCATGGAGACGCAATTCCGAATCCCTTGCGCTTACAACACTTCAACGTCGCCGACGACACGAATTAAATGATATCGTAATTATTCAATTGGCTGGCTGGGTCCATCTCCTTGACGAACAATGGCCAAGTACCTACCTTATAGACGCTCTTCTAATATGACAATGCTTCAAGCTCTCTCTACCTAAAATCTAGGCCTTTTATTTCCCCAATCCGTTGATTTACCACGTCCCTTTTTATGTGCGGTAATCACCGTTGATGGTAATGTACTCGTGACTGTAATCGCAAGTCCAGTACGTCGCTTCCTTATCACCAGTTCCCAACCTCACCAGGATCTCCAAATCCTCCAGCTCCAGAATCTCCGATGCCCTGGCCTCGTTGACCATCTCCGGCTCGCCGTTGACCAAGAGCTTCAGCTCAGGCGTGCCATCGGTAGGAACGAACGAGACGTTGGTCTTCTCGGGCGTGACCTCGGGAACGTCGTTGACGGCCTGGCCGGGCTCCGACACGAGCGAGTAGCCGGTCGCGCACAGGATGCGGCCCCAGTTGGCGTCCCGTCCGTACAGCGCAGTCTTGACGAGGGGCGACCTGGCAATAGTGCTCGCAATCTTGCGCGCGGCCTCCTCGCTGGCAGACTCGACGACGCGGATGGTGACGAACTTGGTGGCGCCCTCGCCGTCGCGGACGATGAGCTTGGCCAGGTCGATGGAGAAGTCGGTCAGGACCTGCTGGAAGGCGGCGCAGTCGGGCGAATCCACGGAGGAGATTTCCTTGCCGCCGGCAGCACCGTTGGCGAGCAGAGCGAGTGTGTCGTTGGTAGAAGTGTCTCCGTCAATGGTGATGCTGTTGAACGATCGGTCGACGGCGTGCTTGAGAACGGAAGGCATCACAGCGGGCGAGATGGGCGCATCCGTGGCAACAACTCCGAGAAGGGTGGCCATGTTGGGGTGAATCATACCAGCGCCCTTGGTGGTTCCGGCGATGCGGTATTCGACGTTCGGTGATGAGGGCAGCGTGAAGGTCTTTGACATGAGCTTTGGGAACGTATCGGTTGTGCAGATGGCGGTAGCAAAGCTCAGCCAGTGCTTGTGAGAGGAGCCCAGAGCCCCTTGGGCAGCTGGGACGTTATCGACAATTTTGGCGATGGGCAGCCTCTGTCCAATGACTCCCGTGCTCATGACGATGGTGGATGACGCATCGCCCTCTCCTCCAACAACCTTGTCGGCTGCGCTGGCCATCAGAGAAGCATCCTCGAGACCCCCCTTTCCGGTGACGGCATTGGCGCATCCCGAGTTGATGAGAACGCTGCGGATGCCGCGGTTGGCCTTCTTCTTGAGCAAATCCCTGCTGAAGGTGACGGGCGCCGCCTGGAACTTATTCTTGGTGAAGACGGCGGCGGCGGCACAGGGCCGGTCTGAGCTGAGAAGAGCGAGATCGGGCTTCGTCTTGTTTCCCGGTTTCACGCCGACGAGGATGCCAGAGGCCTGGAAGCCCTTGGGATAGGTGCCCTCCGTCGGGACGTACTTCTTCTTGGCGGCCGGAATGCTCTCGGCGGAGACCGAGTAGCACCTCACGAACTGAGCCAGGTGGCCGGGAAACCTCTTGACGGGTTGCGCCATTCTGACAATTGGCGACAGCCCAATGCTGTGACGAAAAGGACCTGAAGAAGAGAGGAAGCTCGAGAGCCAATGGCTCACGTACGGCTTGCTGTGATGCTGGAGTTGTGTGAGTGTCTTGTGAGAGAATGTTAGTCACTGGGGAAAGCAGAGGTGAGAAGAGAGATTTAGACGACGCAAGGTGTGCGATAACGGCAGTCGCCCATTTTTCTGACAGGGATGGCACAGTGCTGCACTGCAAAAGGCGCATTGAGACCAATCCCGATCCTTGTGACTTGTTCTGACGCTGCAGCTCATGTTCAACTCGATCGAGTCATACCTTGGCTCGCTCTGTACTTTCTGATTGTGGACTCGTATCTCGCTCTACAATGCAATTCAATTGTCTCCTATAAAGTAAAAGTAAAAGTGATTATTACCTACTGCGTGGTACTTTGTTGCAAGTTCATCAAGGCTTATTGAAAGGGTCTCGGCTCGGACTTCAGCCCCCTGCAGCGAGTGAGGTCGAATGGCGGGGAGCGGGCCCACCCAAGCTTATCGCATCCGCCTCGGTGAGCTTATCGCCTCCCAAGCATAGAAAAAAATTCTAAGAAAGTCGCACCTTTAGTCCCCTCCAACCACCCAGCCGAGTCGCGACACGCTCCAATTGTATATCCAAACCCGCCACAACCCGCAACCAGACGAGACATTTCGTCGCCGACTTTGCAACAATGGCGCCCAACAAGACGAGAACGATCAAGAACAAGCACGCCGCCAACGGCTCTGGCATCAAGAACAGCAAGGCCGCGGACAAGAGGCCCGTTCCCGATGGCATCGTCAGGAAATCCAGAGACACGCCCAAGGGCACGAAGCCCCTCAAGGCCGGCGGCAAGACAAACCTCGAAGCTCTTCTGAAGAAGCGCAAGAAGAAGATTTACACGGAGGAGGAGCTCGGCATCCCCAAGCTGAACAAGATCACGCCCGTCGGCGTGGAGAAGCCCAAGGGAAAGAAGAAGGGCAAGGTGTTTGTCGATGACAGAGTACGATTCCCCAATGCTACGATGCTTTTTTTTCTTCCGTCAGGCTATTCTGATAACTAACGCAACCCCAACAGGAGAGCATGAACACCATCCTCGCCATGGTCCAGGCCGAGAAGGAGGGCCAGATCGAGTCCAAGATGATGAAGGCGAGACAAATGGAGGAGATCCGCGAGGCCCGCCGGGTAGAGGCCGAGAAGAAGGAAGAGGAGAAGAAGAGCAGGCTGGAGGAGACCAAAGACTCGCTGCGCAAGAAGAGAAAGCGCAACCCTCGCGCCGAGGACGAGGACAAAATCAGCCAGTACGCGACCGCAGGGTCAAAGGCCGCCAAGCCCAAGGCGAAGAAGAAGAGCGTCTCCTTCGCATGAGTGAGGGAGATGGGTTTGTGGAACACGTAGCAGCATGTCTTTGCATCTTGGGCGGCGTTCGGGAGTGCCAAAAAAGTAAACATACTGGGTTGGTAAAAAGTTGGGAGGGGAAACGTCTTGTTATTCGTCTGTTTGTTTTAACCCTCTGTTGTATCAACGGCGTTCAGAGCAGATACCATGGCGAGGGCCTGACCTTGCACAAGAGCCTAATGCACCACCATAGAACAGCGATCAGTCAGGCATCGGTGAGGTATGAATCTTGTCGTTGCAAATACCTGTCTGGATACTATTATGTTCATAGCTTTGTCCGCTACTGCGAATGCCAATAAAAAGCAGATGTACTTTTTCTATCTATACCATCTAAGTCTATACTGATACAAATTCTGTTGCAATGTCTATTATGCCCCGCGCTATTCCGTGGCTGCCTTGATCTCCATTCTGTGTCTCGCAGGGGTGAAGTGGAACTCTGACTTGCCGTTCCTGGGCGGAAGCCCGTTGGTTTTCGGAGGTAGTTGGCTGTGATCCACGTTGAAAGCCATGTGGTTGAAGAAGTTTGAGACCTGGTCTCGTCAGTTGATGGTCTCTCGGCATTCTTGGAATGATAGAACGTACCGGCTTCGCGTGCCATCTTCCGCCTCCAGGCTCAAACCAGCAAAGGTGGCCGCCCAAGGAGGTGGTGCACAAAACCGTGTACGGGTTCTTGCTGAATTCCTCGTACGGGATAGCTTCTTCTACCGCAATCTGCAAAGTTTGGTCAGCTTGCATGAAATTTGGGGGTTGTGATTGAGTGGTTCACTTACAGGATCGTCGGTGGCATGCAGGGCGAGGAAGGGAATCCGGATAGCCAGGACCGCGTCGCAGGAAGACGCATCGCGGTAGTAGGCACTCTCTGTGGGGTAGCCCCAGCTGACGCATCTGCTTTTTGTGAGAAATGGTTTGCGGGACTGTAAACATTTGGAAACTTACTGTACTTCTCTGTCAAACTCCCACAGGTACGTTACGTTCTGAAGGCGTTCAAGGTCGAGGTTGGTGTGCTTTTGCACCTCCTCCTTGTGTCCGTTGATCAGTTGCTTCATGCTGGCTGAACAGGCGTGTAAGTACCAAGCATCAAGCTCGCATGTTGAGTGATGATCACAACTTACTTCCCATAACTCGTTGGTAGACCTCTCTACCGAGGAACGTGCGCTTCAGTGCCTTGTTGGAGACTTCGAGGTTGAAGGGGTTGGAGCACGCAATAGCGGCGGTCAACTGGCAGTCGACACCCTCCTCGCCACAGTACTGGCGTGAAAGAGTTAGTCAATGCGAGAAGAGTATTGTGAGAAACTATCAAACTTACGTTTGTCAACATGTTGGCGCCGAGCGAGAAGCCTAATCCAAATAGAGGGCGGTTAGGGAACTTCTTCCTCAACCACTTGATGGTCTGGGCTGATTGTCAGATGGCCTCCTGCAAAGTATGATAAACCGCGAATATATCACTGACCTGACGGAAGTCCCATGTTGCTCTAGCATTGTACAAGATACCACTGGTGAACTTGCTGTTGGCGCATCCTCTCGAGTTCACCACGCACACCTCCCAGTTTCCCGAGTCGATCAACGGCGCAATGGCATGTCTCAGGTAAATCTCATGAGAGCCACCCGAGAGGCCGTGGAGAACAACCAATTGGGGCCGGTTGTCGTCCGACGCCAGAGTCTCAAACTCCTGGTCCTCAAAGTACACCGTTCGCGGCGGCAAGGTGCTGTCGGTCTCCTCAAAGGGCTGAGCTACAAAGTCGACGGCGAAAGTGCCTTCAAAGGCCTTGTCGTCGGCGTGGAAGACCTTTCGACGATAGTACACCGGGGGGCCGTGCTGCTTCGTGGCAGTCCACATGGTCTGCAAGTGGCCGTTGAAGAGGAGCGGGTTCATGTGGCATGGCGGCGTGATCTTTTCACAAACCTTGAGCAGGTCAGTTTGGGCGCCATCTCTCTCCTTGAGGGCCACAGGCGAAGACGCGTGTGTGAAGTTGATTTTGGCGTGTCCTAGCCAGTCCATGGTTCGGAGTCTTCGGACAGCAGTTGATCGAGACAGTTTGGCTTAAGAGAAAGTTTGCGACAGCAAAGGTAGAAGAGTCCCTTCACCAGACAACACAGCAGCCGATGTCAGAATGCTGAGTAAAAATCAAACAAGAGAATCAGTCGCACAACGTCATGAAAAGGCTAGGGCTTCTAGGGAAGATTGAAGTCTAGAGGAGGATGTTGCGAAGTCAAAGTGAACTCTCATGTGAGAATGGTTGGAGAGCCATAAGTCATGGCAGTGGAGCCCCGAGGACTGGTAGCTTCCGATTTAAGGTAGGTATGCAAATTCACATTGTTTGCTACAGACCCTTGGTCCCAACTTCAAGTTTAGGGGCCGAACCAACGGCCCATTTGTCTTGTATTGGGTGTAGGACCGAGGGTCTCAAATCAGCCTACCATGATAGATCGGCGCCGGGTTCACCAAGTGTCCGTTCTGCAGTGGAATCCAGTGGTATGTCTGTACGACAGCACATTTCAAGCTTGATAAAAGCAGGCGAATGACGTGGATCACCGACTAAGGTAGCGGTAAAGAAAGCAAGATGGATTTGGCACCGAGCCGAGGCACATGTCTACAGCCAATTAGAATACGCAGAGGTCCAACTCGACTCGTAACCGTACCCAGCGGGTAAGACAAGAGTTCAGCCACGCAGTGCCACACTCATCGGGATTCAAAAGTTCAGAATTTCAGTTCCGCCGTAAGTGTAACTTTTTTGAGCAAGACGGAGCCATCATGGTCTGTGCATCTCCTACCCTGACCGGAACCGGGGGGGGGGGGGATCCACGGCACGTGGAATTATGTAAGGCACGCAGGGACCATGGGCCATTTCTCGACCAGTCGTTCCTCGAGGAGCCTCGCGACCTGCAGGTGCGGCTATTGGACAGCAACCGCGTCGCAACAAGTCACTCCAGTTCAACAAAGCGACTGTCGAGACTCCATGTAGCGAAGCCTGCGACCCCTATGCAGTCCCAAAGATGACATACCGGGGCTCCTTGCCTTCGGGGCAGGCCTTCAATGGCCAGCAGCACGTCCCCCAACCCTACCACGATCCCTACGGCAATAGCAATGGCAACGGCGGCGGGAGTGGGAATGGCCAGAACCAAAACTACGCGAACGCTGCATACGGCACTCACGGCCAAGCGCAACCGATTCATGGCAGTTACCATCAACCGCCTACCCAAGCTCCGGCTCCCATCCTTCCTGCGCCTACGCCGATGAACATGCAGGCGAACGGATATGGGCAGTTCCCTGCGTATGGCGGCACCTTCCCGCATCATCAACAACAGCAACAACAGCAACAACAGCAACAGCAGCAGCAGCAGCAGCCACCGCAATACCCCCACCATCACCAACTCCAGCAGCCCTTTCCTCACGGGAATACGATGAACGTCCAATTTGCGCCTCCTCACTCACCCTTCGTCCAAACCACACACGCCTCTCGCTCTCCTGCGCTTGCGCCTGCACCGACACCGACACCGACGCCGCCAATTTACGCTGAGTATCAGCCGACGCAACAGCCGCAACATCAACCGCAATTCCAACCTCACTTCCAGCAACAGCCTCAACCGCCGCCTCAAACACCGCAGCAGTTGCAGCAGCTACAGCAACAGCGTAGCCCCCAAGTCTTTCCGGCGGTACCACAATATGCCCAGTTCTCCCAGCCGCCCATGGGTCAAACTCAGGCCGTGCCAGTACTAAACCAGGCTTTTGCCGAACCTTCTCCAGTTCAACGGAGTCCCGAGCCTCACTTCGCAAACTCGCCAACTGTACAGCCGGCACGATCACCCAGTATAGCTAGAAAGTCACCTGCGATATCCTCGATCAACTCTCCGGCCATATCATCCAGAGGTTCTCCCGCCTTATCGACGAAAGCAAGGTCTTACGACACGACGACGATCCTTGTTCACGTAGCAGAAGAGTGTTTCGAGAAGGCGCGCCGTGGTGTACAAAGAGTGGCGGTGTCTGGGTCAGACGAGCAAGTGCGCGAGTACCAAAAGTTGATTACAACTGGTCTGGCATGTCTCGAGGCTGCATTCCAAAGCAATCGTCTGTCTCCGAGACAAGAGGCAAAAGCAAGATTGAGATATGCGTCTATATTGTGTGATGAGACGGAGAATCTTCAAGAGGCAGAAACAGCCTTGAGTAAGGGCATCACCATCTGCGACAAGGTATGTTGAAATGGATCATTACTCGCTCGAGTCTTGTATTGACGTTCCTTCCAGCATAGATACGCCGATCTGAAGTACTGTATGCAATATCTTCTGCTCAAGGTACTGTTTCAAAGGAACCAGAAGGCAGCATTCATCGCCGTCGACAAAAACATTGCGGACTGTCTCACGTGCGTCGTAGTAACCTCACCTTAATCGATGTTGGCCCGTTACTTACCAAAACACCAGGTTCAAACACATACACTGGGTTTACGCCTTTCGTCTGCTGAAGGCCACGTTCCATGTCCATGCGGGTAGTCCACCCGATGCGGCAGTACTGGACAACTTGCGCGCTATTGCGGTTTTAGCGAGCGAGAGAGGGGACAACGCAATGCTTGTCTTCGCCTCTCTCTTGGAAGGCTTGTCGGTGCTAAGAAACATGCGCCCCGACACCATCGAACGAGTGCAAACTTGCCTGGCGCAAGCCACGAAGTTTCAACTGGATCCCTCTGTTCAGATTCCGCAGCTGGATGTTTTGACGCTATTGCTCGACCTTGCGTGTAGCATGCACCAGAAAACGCCCGATATCTTGATTCACAAACTAAGAACACTTCAAGCAAAACTTGATGCAAACTTGGGATCCCAGACATGGACCGATCTGAATCCTGAGATCTTGATCCCTGTCAAGAAGCACAACTCAACCTCTGCTACCCTCAGCGATGATACCTCTTCAATTCTCCGATCCGGGCCAACTGATGGACAGCACGATTACATTGTCATGACTTTCTTGAACCGGCTGGAGATCATAGTATTGACGTAAGTACCACACAGTTGCGCCCTCTTTGTCAGATATCCATTAACCGGAAACAGCTACACGTTCAGTGGTTTAGCCGGCATGTATCGCCCTGGTTCGGATCCTAAGAGGAGCCACGAATTCTGGAAGGAGGGATTCGATGTATTGGCAAAATGTAAGTGTGGTTCGTATTCTCAAATGTGCATGAAGCTGACACAGCAGAAGGGAACAAGGAGATAGCCCCCAGTGTTCCTGCGGCATCCCTGCGCGAGTCGATGGAACAGTCTAAATGGAGGACCGAAATTTTCTGTTATTTGCAAGCTCTGACGGGGCTGTACTTTGCAACGCACAGTCAATGGCCAAAGGTCGAACAGTGCGTGGCACAACTGCAGCAGGCTATCACACCAGCTGTGAACGAAATCTTTAGCGTGTTCTCGCTATACCTCTCCGGGGTCTATCATCAAGGCACCGGTGATTTGGAGACTGCTCTATTATTGTTCGAAGATGAGAGGTTGAGTGTCGATGTAGGCCGTGGGGGTCCAGGTGGCAGGAAGCCTGCTAAGCTGGAGCTGTGCATACTCGCTGCGCTGAACCGTATCTGGATCCTTCAAGATTCATCTTACCGCGATGAGATGACATCTACGGAGCTATTGGACCAGTTGCGGCCGATGTGTACGGAACATCAAGATCCTGACATACGCACCGCCTTCAACCTCGTACAAGCAACGGCTCAGACGATGCCCCCGCCCTCTATGCACCAAATCAAAACGAGTATAACGAACTCGTTGAATGGGTCGCGGGTGACAGGTAACACACACTGTCTGGCAATAGCCCTCAGCATCATGCGGTCTAGACTGTTCGATAATGTGGTGGGCGAACAGGCTCTGAAAAGCGCAAGGGCAGCCTCGACACAGGCGAAGCGGAGTGGAAACTTGCTTTGGATGAGTGTGGCGGACGGTATGCTGGCTGATTCTTTTGAAGTCCAAGCACTCTTTGCAGACGCCGAAGCAGCGCGGCAGACGGCCACGGACTATGCGTCTCACGCATTCACTGGGAAGGAGTAGTTGGTTCGGGTTCAGCGTGGATCATGTTTTCACGGCATTATGGACTGGCGTCTGGTGCGGGATTTGGCCTGGCATGAGCTGATTGTTTGGGAAAGCATAATACCCCCCAATTTGTATCGCTGCCAGATGATGCGGCGAAATTGACTGAGTGATGAAGGAATTGTTGCTACACACTCCGTAAGGTCGTTATTCTTTAGAAAGTCGATGGGCTATACGGCTTCAGCCTATTACCAACTACTACCTCAATCCCCTCTCGTGATTTGCATCAACCTTGCGGACATTTACCTATGACAAAATAGGATAAGTAAAAGTATACTACTTGATTCTTGAGTGACCAAGATAGCCTTTTTACGTTCCTCACCTTAATTGCCCGAGGTGAGCTATCCTGAGGTGGGAAGGCATGAAGGGACTAAAGGTACCTTCGACAGGGGGGACCAGCGGTTTTGCTTGCAGACATGCGATCTGCGCATGCACGGACCAGACTTCATTGGGACCCCTGTCGCAATTGATTGACTGTGGCGCGTCCCGTCCGCGTTCCGTTCTACCTAATAGGAAAAAAAATTGACCAGCAGCTTTCTAGCCCACTTCAAACTCCCCGTTAACGTCCAACGCAACATATCGTCACCTTTTCCTCCAATGCTTCGTGCAAACACCCTGCGCCTTCAAAGGCTGGGAAACTCCTATGTTTGTGCGTCCTGCCGGCCCAGCCTTTCAGCGCCATGTCGGACGCGACCCTCTTTCTTCCAGACCACCGCCCTGGTTGGCGATCGAGGCTTTAGGAGGAGTAGCTCGAACAAGAAATCGACAGCAACGCCGGCCCCGAAAGACGATGCGGAACCGAGTAACGATGCAACACCCGATGCCGAGGTCAATGCCGGGAAAGATGTCCAGGTCAAAACTAAGAGCGGTTTGGAACCTAGGAGCAAAGGAAAATCCAAGAGCGACACGGAACCTCAGAGCGACACGAAGCCCAAGGGCGGACGGACGGCAAAGTCAATGAAGCCACCACCCAAGAAACCTGCCCCTAGAGGCCATTCGAAGGTTGGGGCGCAGTCAAGCAAGAAAACGCCAGCCAGACGAGGAAAGCCCGCCGATGTCGAGAAGCCGGTCGAACCCCAATCGCCACCCGAGCCTCAGGTTATAAAGCAGGTTTTTGAGTCTCTGAAGAAGCTTGAGCAAAGCTACGCCTCTATCAACAGTAGGTTGTCGAACATCAAAGAAGGCACCGCGGAAGCAACTGCCGAAGGAGCCAAAGCAGGTTCTGGGAAGAAGGGAGAACTGGACGCATTCGTGGCGAAACAGAGCGATAAGTTAGGTGGGAAACTCAAGATGATTTCTGGTACTCTGGACGTTTTGAAGAGCGTTTTGCGCTCGCAGTCGATACCTCTCGACCACCTCGCAAAGAGGCCAAGTGCCACGAAATCGTCGGGCACCACATCAAATGACGCTTCTAGGCCCAAAGGCCAATCTCGGCAAGCTCAATCTCAGTCCCAACCCCGTGGCAAGGCCAGGAAGGATGAGATGCGGGTAAAGGTGCGAAAGGTTCTGCTTGGCGAGGAACGAAAGCCGATAGCTCAAGATCCAGCGAAAGCCTCGTGGACGTCACTTGAGAATCGCCTCACTGGCGGTGACAAGGCTCCAATAGTTTTGGCAGCAGCGGCCGCTGGTGCATCAGCTCTTGGCGCAGCTCGTTCTGCCACTGGCACAGGTGCCGATGGAATGGCTGCGAACGAGACAGCGAAGAACGACAGCGAAGCACCCCCAACCAAGCCCAAGAGGACTAAGAAATCCGAAAAGCCTCTTGTCAATGTAAAGAGAGTGCACGCGGAGAAGCTTCGCTTAGTGCCTGTTGAGATACCAGACACTCCCGAGGTGCCGAAACTCGCGTACGGCCTGGACAGAGTCCTGTTCAACCCTGGAGTATACCATATGCAGGATCCCCGCTCGCGAGTCTTCAACTTTGATCCTTACCTCGGCGATATCATGCCGATCAGCGAGTTTGACTTCAATGCGCTCCAGAAATATGTCACCTCTTCAAAGGATAACACCTTGATTTCGCTTGCGGCCAAGCTGGGTAGAAAGTACACTGGCTCAACGTCCAGCATGACCCAGACGCTGTCCCATTTCCACTTCTTGCTTTCTGCGTGGCGGCCTATCAACCCTGACAACATGAGCCGCCAGTTCACGCCCGAGTATTCGAGTTTCACTGCCATCTCTCGTGCGCCAGCTGCCTCCTTCCTCCATTTCAATGAAGGTGTGTACGCGATAGATGCAGACAAGGAGTACGACAGTGCCAGTATTCTGAGCATGCTCGGAAAGTCAATGGAGAAGCAGTTGACGCTGCCGCGAGAAGAGTTCGAAAAGTATCGCCGTGCCAATTCCGATCAAATCACTGAGGAGGAGCGCAATGCCGCAGAAGCCTTTCATTACACCACCATGGGCGATTTCCTTATGCGCTCTCAACTGGATGCGTATGATCCACGGTTACCAGGATCTGGAATGTTTGATCTGAAGACGAGAGCTGTAGTCTCAATTCGTATGGACGCTCAGCAATTCCACAAGGGACTTGGCTATGAGATCCGCCGCCGTTATGGCCAGTGGGAGTCGTTCGAGCGCGAATACTTCGACATGATCAGATCTGCGTTCCTCAAGTATTCCTTGCAGGTGCGAATGGGCCGCATGGATGGAATCTTCGTTGCCTTCCATAACACACAACGTATCTTCGGCTTCCAATACATCCCCATCAACGAGATGGACCAAGCTATTCACGGAACCTTTTATCGAAATCTCGGCGACCAAGAATTCAAGCTCAGCCTGCACCTTCTGAATAAGGTCCTCGATCGCGCGACAGAACGATTCCCTGGCCGATCCATCCGACTTCATGTGGAAACGCGACCTACCGACCCTCCTTTTATGTATGTTTTCGCAAAGCCTGTTACAAAGGAAGACATCGACAAGGTCCAGACGCGCAACCAAGCTGCCGTCAGAGAGTTCGAGGAGCAGATCCTTGGTATGGCCTCAGAGGAGTCATCGGACCCCGAGATGCAGGACTCAGAAGTCGAACAATCGGTTGGCCACGAAGAAGACGAGGAAGCTGTTAGCGTCGATGTGTCCAGTACTGAGTCTAGTAGCCAAGTATGGCAGACGCAAGCATTCTGGGAAGAAATGCAGGAGAAGGTCAACGAGGCAGTGGAAGACGATGCCCTCGGTATCGGCCATGTACGGGAGGCAATCCACGACGCACTGGAACAAAGTGCATTGCTAAAGGCGAGGACACCTGAAGAAGCTCGCTGGTATGTCGACGGCCTTTTGGAGGCCCTTACTCGTAATCAAGCCAGCGAGGCACAGGACATTGATGGAAAGGATGACCAGACGGATGCGATGTTTGCGAACGACATCAGCATCCCATCGGCCGATACCACTCAAGCTATTGAGTCGAGCACAGCACAAGAAGCTGTGCCAGCCTCTAGCGAGGGAACCGAGTTGGTTCAAGAGACAGACGGAGAGTCATCACTAGAGAGGGAGGTGCGCAGCTCCCGGAATCTCGGCCTAAAGGAGTTGATTCTCCGCGTTGCTTCAAATGTCGATGAGAATCTCGACCTGGAAGAAACCGAGATTCCTGAAGACGACGCAACTTCGGACGTCTCCAAACTCCGAACGTTCGAGCGTATTCTATCTAAGCTGGTTGCCGAGTCGAAGCAGTCAGAAATCAAGACGACACCCCAGGCTTCAGACATGGAGGAAGCAACGACTGAAATCTTTGAGGATCTTACCCCCAGTACCAGCCAGACGGCAGCCTCAACCGAGTCTCCCAAGGATGCTGACGGCAAAGAAGCCCAAGTAGACGAGACCCCTGAGCTCGATATCGTTGACAACGAGCTTCTTGGAATGGTCTTGACCGTGCGGAACAGGGTAAATGGAGAGTACGCCCCCCGGCCCGACCCCAAGGCTGGCGTTTCGGGGTGGACCGTGGAGTATTCCATTGAAGAACTTCCTGCAGGCCGCGCCGAGGCTCTGTATAAAGCAGTTCAGGTGCGACGCAAGAAGGCGCTCTCAAACGATAAGGATGCGAAAGGGCCTGACCCGTGGTACCAAATGTTTTCGGGCAAGCTGGAGCAGATGAGCAAGAGGGGCAGGAAATTCCGTGCGAAAATGGAAGAGAGTGCCAAGGAGAACCCAGTCCATATTTTCGGCATGGATGATCCCGTAACCTATGATGAGGCTTTCGGACACAGGGCCCAGTGGAAGACGGTATCCTGGGATGAAACGACAGACGAGCTGCGAGAGGACGATATGGACGAGGAGACCTTGAAGGAAGATATCTTTCAGGAGGACGAGTTGAGTGAAGCCGAGCTGAAGGAGAGCCAGCTGCAGGAGGACGAAGTAAAACAAAACGAGCCGCAAGAAAGCGAGCCAAAAAAGGAAGAGGCACAGAAGGAGGAGCTGCAGGGCGACAAGCCGCGAGACTCATAAAAGGGGATATCGTGGACTAAGAGATGTATGATAATTGTGTACCTACCATTTGTAATCCATGTACAAAAAGGGCGAGAGCGGACCTGGAATGATATAGCCATTCTTCTCAGCATTTTCCAAAACCTGGAACGTCTACATTTATGTATGTCTGGCTGCCATTACAGTAATACATATGTCTCCTTGGATGTGCGGGCCGCTTCAAAGGCGTATAAGCTGGGGCTGCGTTGCATCAAAGAAGCTCGTCAACATTGAAATGGACCCGTCATTGCAAATACACACAGAGGATTCGTCTATGCGTCCTTTGAAGCCCACGAGGCTTTAATCAAAGTCAAATTAATGTAATCGTCATTTCTTCATTAAGCTACGGAAAACGATCATCATAACCTTCACCGTGGCCGCCTGTTAGTTTTTGGTTCATATCGCCTGTCAGGCATCTGCCTGCGATCCTGGCTAGGCCGATGACAGCTGCCATATCACTGAAGTGAGGATCTGGACAATGTTAGCAATGGCTACTCCCCGTCTGATCAAAGTGACGACAGACCATTGCAGTCTGATTCAACCTGCTCTGGACGAGCTTCTCGCTGGGCCCTATCCTAAACGCCCGGCTATTTTTCGAAACTGATGAAGCCTCGGAATGCAGCGGCACCAAAGCACCGCTTTTTTTGGTCCTTTTTGTAGTTTTATAATACCGCCAACGAATGGCGATCTCCTCAGGTTCGTCCCTCTTCATCGGCGGGGGAACCCAGGGGGGTTGAAGCCTGGAGGAGGCATGAAGCCTGACGGCGCCGGCGGTGTCCCAGAAGCTCCCGGAGGAGGCATGGGGAAGTTGGGAGGGGGTGCCGCGAAGCCTTGCGGTGCAGGAGGTCCGCTTGGCGGGCGGAAACCCGGGGCACCCGGGTGGAAGTCGGCCGGGTTAGTGTAGCCGCCCTGCGACTGTGGCGGCCGCGCGGGCAGACCAGACGGCGCGGGAGGGAGCACGGCGCCGCGACCCATGCCCGGCCCGCCCATACCTTGCGGTGGTGGTACGGCATTGTATTGCGCTGGTCCCCGGGGCGGAGGCGCGAATCCGGCTGGGGCTCCTGGGTTCGGGACTTGAACCGGCAGGCCGTTTGCGGGGTCGAATCCGGCGGGGGCAGTCGGCGCAGCGGCCGGGGGCGGGCCGTTGAGAAAAGCGGGTGGCACGGCCTGAATTTCTGGGACAATGTTCCTCTTCTTGGCCTGCGCGGCGAGCTCACGCTCCGCAGCGTCACCGTGGCGCTCGCCCTTGCCGTCCTTCTTGAATGCATACTGGACCGAGACCTCCTTGCTGAGGATGTACTGCATGTGCAAGTTGGCAATCGCCGCGTCGGCGCTCTCAAAGTCGGCGTAGGAGATGAACCCGAAACCTTTGGAGTTGCCGCTGTCCTCTCGCGCGACCTTGGGCAAGTTGACGAGCGGGCCGAAGCGCGAAAAGGTGTCGTAGAGGATCTTCTCGTCCACCATGCTGTCCAGGTTGCCCACGAAGAGCTCCGCGCCGACCTCTGCCTGCTTCTGCTTGTCCGCGCTGGCCTTGTTGACGCGCAGGGACTTGCCGTAGAGCTTGATGCCGTTCATCACGTTGGCGGCGTACTCTGCGTCGCCCGGCGTCCTGAACTCGACGAAGCCGAAGCCCTGGTGGTTCTGGGTGACGCGGTCACGGGGCATGTGGATGTTGTGGATGGGGCCCATCTGGAGCATGACTTCGTACACCATCGCCGAGGTTGCGCGCTCGTCGATGTTTCCGATGTAGATGGTCGCATCTTTGTCTTGTTCCCTGTGTCGCGCGTCGTAGGTTAGTTACATTGCCCTTGAACGCCTGCTTTGGAGCGAATTGGTGCTTACCAATGCCTGTTTTGTGCCATTTTGAATTTCTAGCACTCTCGGTGCTTTCCGTATGACCTATAGACGATACTCGTAAGATAGATTGGATCGTCAGAATCCGTGAAGCGAAAAGCCGTTGGTCGCCTTGTACCATAAAGACCTGGAAATTTTGGCCTCGACGTTCAGTCGCGGTTGAGCTACGTCGGTACGTACCTTATCGCGCAGCGCAAGGTCGATAAGCCTCCCTGCGCGGTTGTTCCGGCGGCTCCACTCGATGCGTTTTTCCGGCAGACGAAGAAAAGTTCAGGAACAGCTTCCAGCGCATCATCCACCAGCTCCCTGACGCAGCGACGACGAGACATCCGCGATAACCCAGCGACGACGAAGACTGCCATCACGCGAATCCGAATTGTTCCAACGTATCGAATACCGTCGACGTCACATTTCCACCGTCAAGATGTTCGCCCTCTCCGAAGAGTCCAAGGTGCGACAACGCAACAACAGCTAGATCACGTCGCATGGATTTGGATCTAATCATTGCATATTGTAGGAGCGCATTGGCAAGATCATTGAGATCTCCCGTATTGCCATTCACTAGTATGTGTTCTCCTGGACTTGATGAGAAATGAACCCAGTGACTGATCTGTTCGCAGCGGCTACCTCCCTCTCGTGCTCTACCTCGGTACGAATGATTGATGCTTCGATTCGAACTACGCCTCCGACAGCGAAACTGACTATTATTTTCAGGCTACACCCGCAGCGAGCCCCGTCCCGCTTTCATCCGGTAGGCATTACCCTCAAGACGCGCGCATACCATGGAGCATCGTAACTAATCCTTCCCCAGCCTTATTTCTCCCCTCTCTTAGACGACGCGTGTCTCAACATCGACTTTTTGTACAATATTAGGCTTGTGATATCTTGGATCGAAGCCAACGTTTTGGGGGTGAAACACCGGATCACTGGCAATGGTGATGAGGAAAATGCAGGCCGCGGCTCCGGCGCATTGTACAACTACATATGTAATCAAATGAAATCTCTCTGACGACATACTCTTCTCTATTGTACGCAACTGCGAATGGTCTGGCAGCGCGGACACCAATGTTGGAGGGGTTTAGGTGCAGTTAGCGGGCTGTTAATGAACGTTCCGAGCTCGCGACGGGTCACTGGCGTATTTTTGCTCATTTTTATACATCGCATCTGATGCAGCTTCTGGTAAACCAAGAAAATGTCCCCCTCAACGCAAATGGCTAGTGCCTGTGAGCAGAATAGACAGAGTCCGTAGGTGAAGGCTCAGGCGGAAGTCGACGAGCTTTGCAACTGCGCTTCAGAATTATTGCCGTCTTTCCATGATCAAGAAGACCAATAGAATGAGGACATTTGAAAGAACTGCATTTATGGGCATTAGGGGCTGTCGATATCCTACCTACCTTACGTCTGGTCACAGCCTGCGAAAGGAGGTTAGGTGTGGCTGAAGCTCTGAAAAAGTGACAGCGGAGCCGCAATTTAATGAGCTAACATGACGTATGAATAATCATTCAGGCGCATTTTTATGGTAAGCTACAGTCAAGCCACACCAACGCTTTCACCAAGCTCCTTTAACACAGATTCCGACATCTAAGCTTGGCCGAGGTCTCTGCAACCGGATGCGTGAGATCGCAGCCACGTTTTCTACATAGAGCAATGTGACAGAGGTCCCTCTCACTTCTATGTCAGAAAGCAAAAATGCGGGCATCTCACCCGCTCTGGTCGAGTCCGTTGCCGGTCTCTCGGCCGGCTCGGTTGCCACTTTGGTAGTTCACCCGCTTGATATCGTGAAGACGCGGATGCAAAGTAAGTAAAGCAACTGCTGTGTCTAGCTGAGAATCACCCAGAAGCAGTCGCTAACAAGGAAAGCCTAGTCCACCGGAGCGCGGCCAACCCGTCAGTGTCGCTGACAACCATGTCTCTCATCCGCACGCTCACGCAGAACCCGCATCCCATCGCCTCCCTCTACCGCGGCTTGACGCCGAACCTCATCGGTAACGCCTCAAGCTGGTCCGCCTTCTTCTTCTTCAAGTCGCGCGTCGAGCGCGCCATCGCGCTCTGGAGAGCCGGCTACATGCCGCTGTCGAGCGGCTCCGGCGCCCACGCTCGCAACCTGACCAAGGAGTACCTTACCACCCAGGACTTCTTCGTGTCGTCCGCGCTCGCCGGGGCGCTGACGCAGGTACTGACGAACCCTGTCTGGGTCCTCAAGACGCGCATGCTCTCGTCCGACCGCACCGCCGCGGGCGCCTACGCCAACATGTGGACCGGTGCGCGGCTACTGTATCGCTCCGAGGGTCTGCGGGGCTTCTATCGCGGCCTCGGCGTCAGTCTGATCGGGGTATCTCACGGCGCGGTACAGTTTGCCGTGTACGAGCCCGCCAAGAAGATGTATTTCGCCGGAAGACAGCGCAAGGGCGACAATGGCGGACGGTTGAGCAACGAGGCGACGGTGGTCATCTCGAGTGTCGCGAAGCTGGTCGCGGGGGCTGTGACGTATCCCTACCAGGTGCTCCGGAGCCGACTACAAAATTACGACGCCGATGAGAGGTTCGGACGGGGTATCCGGGGTGTTGTGAAAAGAATTTGGCAGGAAGAAGGCGTCAGGGGTTTCTACAGAGGCCTGATGCCGGGAGTTGTGAGGGTGATGCCGGCTACATGGGTCACTTTCCTTGTGTACGAGAACGTCAAATACTACTTACCACAGTGGGCGGCCTAGGCTTGTAATGATAGTGTCGAAATAAGAGAGACCATTCGATAACAAATATGTTCCTGTTGGCGGAAATGAAGATTCAATGGTCAAGTAAGATCGCACTTGCAATGTCAGGAACGCCATCTGGTTTGCATGCCTTGAGGATACGAAATAAGAAAGATCTTCATGAAACGGCTGCTTCTGTGTCTTCGAAAGTCCTGGACGTGGCAAACGCCTATGTTTTAAAGTTTGCTATTCGGTCCCTCACTCAACCACGTCTGTACGGAGACCGTTACATTGCCACCAGCAATAAGCAACACTGAGATCAAACGATATTTCACGATAACGCAAGTTTACTTTCGGGAGAGAGAGAGTGTGTGTGAATTGCTATGGCTTATATAGCACATTGGGGCAAGCTTCGTTTCGTGGCCCTTTTTGACTGCTCAACCCTAGGGACTCCGAGTTTCCTACATCTAGTTTTCTAAAGTAGACCACGATTGTGAAATGACGTAGCAAGATGAGATTCGCTGGCCCGTCAAAATCTGTTGCATCTTCGTTTCACGTTCCATTTTGTTTCAATGTATCTCATCCCTCATATCTCTCTGAAATCAGCCGCCCTTGATCCGTTGAATCATCCAACAGAGCGATACCGTCGAATCATTGAAGGAAACGAAGACGAGAGAATAAGGGCGACATAGTACACAAATGTTCTGATCTCGGAAGCCTCGAATCTTGTATTTAGAGACATCCCATCGTCCTGGATCAGTTTATGCCTATACTCTCACCAGCTGTACTCACAATACCTACGCAAGACTCGATAGATGGACAGTTTTGCGATGACATTCCATCACTGTAGCTACCTGCTCTTTGAAAGCTCATAAGAACGATAATCAGAAACCAAATTGAAAATTGAAGAAACCCATGCTCAAGCCGGGTGATTGGCACATTAGACTGTCTGATAGATTATCAAAAGCTCAAACATGGACACAAGTCACTGGAATAGGGGCTGCAAGACAGACATCGGCTTTCCCACTTCACGAGCAGTTTATTTTCGAAGGATACCAAGCACAAGCTCAAGGCTTTGTCAGAGCTTATTCGCGTGCCAGAGCAAAGGATTTACTGAATGAACAGACCTAGAGGAATGTGCCATCGCTTCGAGGCTGGTTCTACGAGCAACGTTGAAGAACACTGAGCCACTGCCAACAAGAAGATACCGATCCACGATCCAGAGTCTCACACGTGGCCCGCCATACGCCGCTTCAATCGCCTTGTGTGACGGAATATTGTACTTTTCGAATGTGCTGAAGGCAGGTGAGGGGTTTCGACCCCAGGAAATTCTGTCTGATCTTCCCCAAAGTCATGAGACCATGGGCTGAAGCACAAAGAACATGGCGAATCTTTCCTTGAGAATGACACTTGTTCGATCTGATCATGTCGTAATCCAAAATACCTGATCGCAGAGGCCATCACTGCCCAGCCTTCTCTTTGAACCGAAACCCACGCCTCCTATCCCATTTGTCTCTCAAGGCTCGGCACATAAAACAGTAAAACCACATATCCCACGCCTCCCAGCGGGCGCGGCATTCGACGTCCGAGACAGACAACTCACTAAGACAACACAAGTCTTGCTATACCCCCCTAGTCAAGTACCTCCTTGCCTCGGAATCAGCACCCCTTTCTTTGCGAGACACTCGTAGCAGAGTAATAACTCTGTTTTTGCTACTTTTCCCGCGTAGCATGTAGGTATTGATGAACGAAGACCGAACACACCACCACCACCACCACCATCTCACCCTGAAATGGAATGTTCCGTCTCTCCTTCCGGCCCCCCGTTACCCCCTCAAGCCGCCCAGAAGCCACGAGGACGTTTCTCAGTTCTCAGATGTAGGTACGGGTACGCAAAGAGAAAGAAGAAGCAAAGAAAAGAAAGAGCATAGGTAGGTGGACGAGAAGAGCCGTGAGACTTTTTGACATGTCACTTCCGGATCCCAGCGGAAAGGGAAGCCGGCAGATCCCAGACAGGCCATCCATCCATCCATCCCGCCCAGCCAGCCAGCCATAGCCTAGCCAGCACGCCACTCCCAGTAAATCACCTCACTGACGCGCGCCTCGATCGCCAAAAGGTACCTGATCTCATAGGTGATGAGATGGGGATGAGAGGGGAGGCGATCCGGATACCCAATCGTCGACGAGGGGAAAGATCCTTCACTCTTCGTCCCTTTGGGCTTCTCTCCTGCAGGCCTCTCTTCTTGCAGAGCGGGCACTTGTGGAGAGGGGAGAAGATGGACCCCTTTATGAAGTCCTTGCCGGATCTAGCCCAATGTCGCACGTACATCTCTGCGTGCCTTTTCCCACATTTCCTTTTCCCCCTCCTATCAGAATAGCACCCGCGGCATCGTGGTATGACAGGAACACGAGAACACAAGAACTTTGTAAAAGAAG